GCGGTTCAGTCTGTGAACACAAGTAGGATGGTAGCTGCTGGGTGATTGCCCATAGGATGATGACTACAAGAGAAGTGGTCTATGAGACACTCTCTGTTTTAATATATTTTGTAACACAAAGAAATGTAAAACCTCTGCTATTTGTAGTAATAGCACTGTAACCATGATGGTCTACTGGGAGGAGAAGCCACATTTCTAGGGAGATAGAGTCTCTTAATAGGCCAGCCAGTATGTCTAGGAAGAGTGAACTACCTTGCCAGGAGTATTAGCCCTTCAGTCAGTAACTTCACGTGAAGGAACTGGGGGCACAATAATTACTCATTACTGGTTTTTTATACTAATAAACTGAGCTTATTATAAAATATGTCATTTTTCAAGTTCTAAATCTATGTGTCCGTAGTTTCGTCCCCTTTCCTTAAAAAAAATCTCTTAGATACCAATGTAACACCATATTTCTGTGGTTCTCTGAAAGGTACTGACTCCGAGTTGTTTTCCTTCCTAGTGCTCCTGGAAGCGGCCCTATGTTCAAATCCACTACAGTGACTGTGCGAGATCATTGCAATGATATCCCACAAGGTCCTGCCATAGATTCTGTCAATGGAAAGGATTTCAGTTGTACGTTAATGCACGATGCACAGAATTGTAAAGATGTCGCTTCTGTTATTTCTTCCACTCCTGGAAGTGCATGTAGTAATAAATCCGATGCTATCAAATGTGGAGATCAGGTGCAAGGAGCTCAAGGACATAGAGCTGGGTTCTCTTTTGCTTTTCCTAAGAAAGCAGCAGTCAAACTGGAGTCTTCAGCTGCCGTTTTCTATGAATATAATGACGAAACATCTATGGAGCGTGGATTTAGCAGAAGAAGTAGATTTGTTCCAGGAGTATGTAACCCTCAGTCTCCTTCAGCAGCAGAAATAGTCCTGTGCCCTGAGGAGAGACATAACTGTTCTTACCCACTGGTAGAAAAATGCACAGACACAGCAGAAGCTCCTGAAGCTCATGACTCAAAAGAGGTGGCCAGTGAAGAAAGCAGCGTGCTGGAGAGTCCCGTATTAACTCCTGCAATGTCCTATTCAAGGCAATTGCCATGCTCGGACATGGGTGGCTATGGTATTGATGCAAGTGCAGCAGACTTACTGGACCAAACTCTGCCCATGGTTGCAGATAGTGCTCAGGTTCTGCCCTTGGACTGCAGTGGTTATGAGCTGCAAACAAACAGGGCTGTCATGCAGGTGGTTGTGGAGGATTGTTTATCTCTGGAGGATGCTGCGAAGGAAAGTGATAAAGGCAGGAACACTGATTCATCCACAACTGAAACCAAAATAAAAAAGCTGGGGATAGATGTATTAGTGCCATTACCGTCTGAAGACAGTAGTAGTGGAGCCCCACAAAACCAACCAGACACATGCAAGAGACCTTGTGAACCCTTTGTTCCTGTTCTTAGCAAACATGGATCAAATATTCTTCAGTGGCCATCAGAAATGTTAATTTACACAAGTACAGACCCATCAATTTCTTATAGCTGTAATCCTTTATATTTTGATTTCAAGTCATCAAGAACAAGTGACAGCCAAGAAAAGCCTAAGCATCAGACCAACGTACCTCATTTGCTCCTTAAAACTAAATCCAACAATAGTTTAGTCTCAGAATTTACAAATAAGCCTACCTTAGAGTGTGATGATTGTGAAACAGAAGTGAATAAAAATGTGTGCGACTACACGATACCCTTTATAAGTGAAGTTTCCCTCATCAGGAATTGTCATCTTGCAAAAAATAAAAATAAAGTGTCCTTGGATGAGTCATTCAGGATTAGAAAAATAGAAAAGTATCACATTTCTAAAAATCGCTTACGACAGAACACTGTGATAGATGAGAAATATAACAAAGTCTGGATCAAAGGAAGCCATGAAAAAAGGCTTCACAAAAGTAGAAAAAGGAAAAGGAGAAGAAAATTATGTCATTGTCATCATCATCACTGTGGGGACACAAAAGCAGCAGAAGTGGAGATGTCCTCAGCAACTGAAAAAGAAATTAGTTACAGAGGTGAAAATAAGTATCAGGACGTCCAAAATAGTCCAGCGAAGTGCAGACATGATGCAGGGAATATCTGGCTAGCCGCGAGTGAGGTACAGCAGTCTCATCAAAAACTCAGCATTGAAAACGGTCCTAAAAGAGTCGTGTCTGCATCAGATCGTGCACACGGGGACAGAGCCTGGTGTGGCGCTTGGAGCACAAAAAATAGCGGCCAGCACCATGGCTGTAAACAACCAAAAGGAAAGAGCAAAGCAAGCTCTCGGAGACAGGCAAAGCAGCTGGCTCTGAGTTCCAGGAGGCACAGCTTGAGATACTCTAAAACATGTTGTAGCTGGGGAATGAGGATGTCCGGCTGTAGCCCAGAGCATAAATGTTTAGGACACAGCAGTGAGAAGAGTCTGAGACAAAACCAGTCCATAAAGAGAGGTTACAACATCCTGACAGAGGAACCTGAAAAATCCCACCGCAAGCAGAGACAACATACCTATTCCTCTTCATCAGAGGAAAGCTCATACCAACAGATTTTATCAGCAGAGGAATATCTAGGGCAAGCACATACTTTAGGTACACATCACAAGGTAAAAGGAAACTGCAGGAGAAGGAAAACTAGAATCCATCATGTATTCCTTGACAGAAATGCAAGAAGTGAGACCTCCAGACCTTCCAAAGAAAGTTCTGTAAGTTCTACGTTAAATATTTTGGGGGACTTCTTGACTCAAGACAGCCTAGAGGAAACTACTGTTAGTCCCAAAGCTGATCATGCGAAAGATGCGGATGAAACAATGCAGTTGGAGGGAAGCAAATCATCTCTAGAAACTGCTAGTTCACATGTGCTGGAAAAAGACAAATTGACAGCATGTGCAGCGATGGAGAGTACTCCAAGTACATCTTCTGACATTGTCACAGGTTCTGTTGCTGCTGTTCCTGAGCACAGTGCTCCAGCAGCTCCCAGCCTGCAGAATGTTACGCAAGACTGGAGGAAAAAAGAAAATCTCAACAGCTGTGAAAATAAAGCTCGCTACAAAGTTCCCCTCCCTGGTAGATGTTTGGAACAAGCTCCTGCAAAATCCTATCTTTGCCATTATGAATTGGCAGAGTCTCTACCACATGAGAAAATAAATGAGGTGACCAGTGAATGGGTGCAGTATAATCCTGGCTTATTTAGCAGCCCACCACCTTTGCCATTCAAAGAAACACATGTGAACTGTCATACCTTTTTAACCACTGAGCAGTTAATCGCCCCCTTCACCCTGCCTGATCAGACATTGATACTCCCTCCAGATAACCATGACAAATTCAAAAATCTCCCATCTGAGGCGTATCAGCAGATCATGCCACAGAACATGCTGGTTAACAAAGTGAAGTTCACCTTCCCTCCCCCGGCAATCCAGCCCCCAAATTCCCCACTACAGCCCTTACCCTTGCAGCCACCACTGTCTTCTACCTCTGTCACCACCATCCATCACACCTTCCTACAGCAGCACACTGCTGCTGCCAGTACATTGAAGGTTCTCCAGCCCCACCAGCAGTTCCTCTCCCCGATCCCGGCTCTTTCCAGAGCACCTTTACCTCATTTACCAGTCGGACCAAGGCTTTGCCCAGGGAGCCACGCAGCTTTCGTCGCCCCGCCACATTTGCCGCTGCTGCCATCCTCGGTCCTGCACCCGACCCAGCTGGCGTTTCCCACGCTGCCACACACTGTCTTCCCATCCCTGCTGTCCCCACACCCATCTGTCATCCCCCTGCAGCCCCTCTTTTAGGGTGGATCTCGGGGATGGGGGAAGGAGCCCTGACCCAAGTGGTACTGCTGTTCCTACAGTGCCCTCGGTTTTGCAAAACAGTTCTGTGAAATAAACTGGTTAAAAATCCCTCATTTCTTGGGAAGCATTTACTGTAAATACAAGGATGCAAACATTCATGTAAAGTTCAGACCTATACTGTAAGTAAAGCACTGAATAGTCTGATACTAATATGAACTCATATATATAAAGTGAAAACTATGTCCTAGAATATGCATAATGTATATAAAATATATTTATAGTTCTATAACTTATGTTGTAAAGTATTCACTTTTTGGTTTTTATCTTTGTGTATTTGCACCTATTTAATGTTTAGACAAAGCTGACACACTATGTTTTGTACTCTGTTCTCTGAAACTGTAAATCTAGTGACAAACTATCTCTTGCAATAAATTTTTGTTAAGTACTTAAGTATATAAAAAATCTTTCATTATAAGCCTCATGGATGTTATTGTTCCATGTTTTTCTGCAGCTGAATAGCTTCCTCTACCCCTGCTATGCTCACATAATCAGGTTTCCTATACATCAGTCATTTATCAGGGAGGCTTGAGAGGCTAATACCTCGAGGGCAGCTGTCTTACGGAGCAGGAGATAAAGGGTAATAGACCTGTTTGTGTTAGCAGCTTGATGTCACTGTGACAAATTTTACTTGTAGTAAACTTGTACTCGCACTACTTCTAGTATGTGCACAAAGTGCTGACTGCTGGAGCCAATCCCTTTTATACAAAACCACAAAAAGACAATGTAATAAAAAATAACATTGACTGTAGAGGAAGAAAAAAAAGGAAAGATCAGCAGCAGTTTGACTTCAAGGGACTGTTGGTTATAGCAAAGAATTAAGAGTATAGAGAAGGTCTTGGTTCACCCAAGTGTACTTTGATTGCAGACATCGCTCAACAGGGGAGAGATCTGTCAGAGTGAAGGTCCTTGCTGCCCGAGTGATATGTGAGGACAGCAAGAGCATGTGAGAAGAAAGGGGAGATGAAGAACAGCTTTGCGTGGGGAACCTACTAGGGCTTGATTAAAATTCTGACCTCATTTACCCCCCCCCTTTCCCACAACGCTAGACGGACATAGAATAGAATTTCATAATAATACTAATATACTGCCATTATTTCTAACTGTATTTCAGATAATTCACCCTACCTCTGCAGCCTTTTTTTTGCTGTCGAACCTCACCTGGCCGTAGACCAGAAAATCTTCCCATTTGCTGTAGTAAGAGATACATCAGGCCCACACCTGTGATGGTCCAGAATAAAACCAGAAGTGGTTCTGAGATAGAGTTGTCTCTCTGAGTTAAAATGAAGTGTTATCATGTAAGTGAAGATAAGGATTTGCAGCATGACCATTAGTGCTAGAAGTAGGCCCTCTGTAATTAAAGGTAGGTGCTAACTCTTCAATTCCTTCTTTTCACCTTTTTATGTAGTATAATAAAAGTATATACAGTTGAACTGAGAATAGTATTTTTTTAATATTATTAATATACATTGCATATTAATAAAGAAATTATCCATTTAGAATAATACTGTATTCTACAACATATATATCTGGGTATTATTTTCTGCATCTATAGCATTAGAAGTTACCTATATCAATATTGCAAGTTTACTTTAATGTTACATTAAAGCTGTAGCAAACAGCATCTTGCCACTATGATTACAGTGTCAGCTACTCAAGGGATGCAAGTTTTCCGTGTTGTGCATTTACAGGGGGCAAAACTATGTTTGTAAGCAAAAAATAAGGAGCAGATGAGCGGTGTAGTTCTGGAGAGCTGCTGAGATCGCCTGCCTAAGGCTGTGGCACGGAGCAGGATGTTGCTGAGCCATCTAGCCCTGTAATACCACAAAGAAGGTATATTTTCTCTAGTTGTAATTTCAGGTGAATGCTCATTTCTGTTTATCTGGTACCTGAAAAATATAGCATGTAAGTGACTTTATACTCCTCCTTTATTGCAGGAGTATGCCTACATAATCTGTAAGTCTGCAGTATGACCTGTAAAATGCCGGTGCTAAGTGGCTCTGAGCATGGGAGTCTCTGTTTCAAGCCAGAGGGTGCATGCTTGCTGTTTCCTCTGTTGCACTGGCTTCTGCAATTTTGCCCTCTTCTGCAGTAGTCAGGCAGACGGTCCCTGGGCTCTGATGTCTTATTGAAGCCAAAATCCATCTCATTATCTAGCAGTGCACTTGAAAAAAGGAAACCGTGTAGGACAATTATGATTGCACATGATGTGGTCCATACATTTTTATCTTGCAGGAGATTAAAAATTACCAAATCCAATCTATTAACTTAGAAGTCCACCTTTTTTCAAAACAATGTCCAAACAGCTTTGAACATTACTTTTTTTCCTCACAATATCTTTTTTTTTTCTATTTTAAATTGTGAAACAGTTTTAAGACATTGCACAATTTTTTATTATCTGCTGTAATTGCTTTTCGATAGTGTATAAACTACGTGCAATAACCATAAAATGTAATCATTTTCTAATATGGTATTGCCTTCAGTGCTAGAACTGTTTGTGTATGTGACTTCATATGTAAAAGCAAAACCAATACAAAAATAAATCACAAGTTAACTTAAAATTGAACACGCTAAATTAAATAACCTAATAAAATACAATTTTGAGTTTCTGTTTGATTATTAAATATATAACTTTGACTAAGGTACATATAGGTAGTTCTTATTTTTCATGTTTTACCTGGCATTTTAGATTAAATGTCTATTTTTATTCTGTAACTTGGTAGTCTAATTTATAAGTAAAATTTATTTCAAATGCTAAATAATTTAATTTTTATAATTCTAAATAATTTCCACCAAATCTGTTACTTCTGTTTCATTTACCTTTGAATTTTCGAATTTGCACAGGTTTAGCGTGTCTATGTTTCAGGCCAGTTTGCCAGTTTTTAGAAATACTGGGCTGTCTTCCTAGTGTAAACAGTACAAGTGATACACCTGAACTGCAAGAATTAAATTCTTCAGACCTAAACCTAAATGAAGTTATAGATTTTATTAAGCAGTTTCCCAGAACAGCTCTGCAGACAAATGCTGGTAAAGTTAATCTATGCCACTGAGTTTAGAAAAGTGTTGGTTTGGTTTTTATGTCCTTGGAAAATTGCAGTCTGTCCAGACTATGCCCTTCTTGGGGCTGTACCTTTTCTCAGGAAATGGGAGCTGTGGAGTCGTGGTCTAGAGGAGCTTTTGGGCATTAAGACCATAATTGTCTTGCACTGTTACGGGAAGTTTGGAATAATCAGACTCCTTTTGTCTTGGCTGTAAGTACATAGATTTTTCTTAATGCTGCCAATACCTGCAGAGAATCTAGTTGTTCATTTGATTTCCTTCACAAACTAGAAGCTACACAAGCTTTTAATTGCTGGGGAGAAATGACTAGATTTCTGATTATACAAGAAGCACCATTGGGTAGTCACAGACATAGAAACTGCTGATCATAAACAGTGGTCAAAGAAACACCTTTCACCGAGCATTACTGAGTGAGAGTATTTTTATCATTTGGTGTACTCAAACAACGATGAAGCAATTATAAAGCAAATTCTTCTTTACTTGCAATGTTAACTTTTTATTAGTTAGTAAGCTTTTACACTCTTAAAAATTAATTTGGATATGGTATTCACACTAAGCTTTAGAAGACCATTGGGACATCCATTTCTTTTCAGTAAATTACTATATGCAATAATATGCTTCTTACACCATATACGCATGGCTATAATTTTTTCTGTTATTCATTTTCTATAATTGTATATTTTTTCTCAAAATACATGTTTTGATAATATTTACTTAATGTGCTGCACTTAAAATACAGCTTTAAATATATTTGACCCAACTCTTAATTGGTGTAAATCAGCGTACAACTTCTGATTGATTTGTACCAACCAAAAATGGCTCATGTTGCAATGTGAAGAATTTTTTAACTTTCCCTGGTTAAGGCAATACAATATGACTATGTGAATGTATTCTGAAGACAGTTATGTGCTTGTAACTGAGGTGGTGAATTTTAATCTACTGACTATTTTACCATGATGCTTACAGTCTACAAGTTGTAAACTCCATCCATTCATTTTCTGATACCCATTACTGTACACTGCCTAAAGACTTGTGTATATGTAGCAGAGCACATATTTATGCAATACGGCTACCAGTTGTAAAATTTTACAAAGCTATATTAATTCTCTTTATTGAAAGTAAAAGACATTTTTACTGTATAAAGATCACTTGATATTTTTAAATTAATACGGCTTGCTATCTAAATGTGTATGTTATTTTATAGATCACTTAGATTTAATGTCTGCAGCAGTCATGATTTTGCATATTATTTTATGTCCTTCCTTCTCCCCTTTACTTCAGGAACACAAAGTTTTCTTTTTTTTTTCTGCTTGTCTGTGAATAAGATTATTAGAGTTTATTGGAATTTATATATTTATGAATATGAACCAGGGGTTTTTATTACTTCCAGCTGCAAAAATTAGTGTACCAACTTTAAGAATTATAAGACATCTTATTTTTGCTTCAAGCTTCTGTAATATTTTATGGATTTTATGAAAGGTTGGGAGAATTTATACCCTGAGTCTGAATTTTTACTTGTTGGTGAAATTTTGAAACCAATGAAGTCTAAGGAAGCTTTACCGTTAATATTACTAAAGAGCATTAGGGCTCTATAGTATATGGGAGCATATACAACCCTTAAGGTACAGATGCATTGCTTCTCTGCGTGCCCACGAGCTCTCCGCCAGGTTTGTGTTTAGTCAGCGGAAGGACTCAGATCTCAGACTGGGTTTCCTCGGTTCCCTTGGCCAAAGGTGCAGTTGCCTGCCTGTGGCAGAGGTTGATCAGGACTCTGTTCTTGTGGCAGGACTAGATCTGGCCTGAAGCCATAAAAGGAAGCCTGATGAAGGATGTAGGGCATTTTCTGGTTTATTTTCCGTGAATTGATGTGGACAATAAATGTG